TTCTCACGTATAGACGTATTGCGTTAACATCAGATGAATTATCAGAGTATACAAAGGTGATAATAATTAGTATATTCTCATATATAAAAGAATAATCTGAAAATAAAATAAACGGAATAAGTCCTCAAGACCAATATAAAGTTTTCTTTAACTTTCAAATATGTTAATTGTAAATATATATTGTGTTTCATTTTATTATATACAAAATACATAAACATCCTTTAATATATCATATATATAAATTAAATTAAATTAAATTAATATTAAATTAAATTAAATAAAAATATGTATACTTTTACAATGTTAACAGTTGTTTATATTATTACATAATTTCCTTCGTCTCTTTCCAATTCGAGAATTGGAAAGAAATGAGGATCGAATAAGTTAATTATTATATCTTGGGCGTCAATAATTACATGCAAGTGTGAAAACTTTATGTAATAATCGTCTTTAATTTGACATTAAATAATTGATATATCAATAAAAAAAATATGGAAAAAATAATGCATTTTACAATCTTATTTAATCCAATATTATTTGATTTTTTATGTATAAATTTGTAAAATATGATTGTTAAATTTTTTGTTTGTAAATCATAACTTCATATGTAAACTATCAAATTTTATTAATTCGGATTGTATATGTATATTTACAATAAGACTGTTCCCGATCTGTTCTTTTCCCAAGAATTCTTCCAAAAAGAACAGACCTTCTTATCAAAAGCCAACGAGAGGGCGCTATCGAACTTACATTCGGTGACGCTCTCTCGGTAAGCTTGAATTCGCGGGAATACGCGGGAAATTGAGTCAATTGAGAGGAGGTTACTCGCACATGCCTGAACGTGGAGTGAAGAGCGCCTAAGAAGTAAGGTATAAGATTATCTTAATCTCCGTCAACGATGTCGAGTCCTGTTAGACCGCCGAGGACTCCTGTCCCTCAGGATGACAATCGTTCCCCGAATGGCACGCCGAACCGTACACCGAACCGCACACCGAATCATACTCCTAGGCGGCATCCTCGGACTCCAACCTCCAGGACTCCCTCGGCCGCCGGAACACCCAGAGTCGCTGGCTCCGCCAGACAAGGTTTGTATGAAGAATATCCATTAATTATCTTTATTTTTAAAAATGACGCATTGTATTCAAACTGTTACATTTGTCACACGTAGGTACACCTCAGAGAAGACCAGGTAACCAACCGGTAGACACTCCATTACGATGGGGCAACCGTCAAACACAGGAGACCATTGCGCCGTCGTCGGAGGGCTTGTCGTCTATGCCATTGTCTTCTCCGAATCGACAGCCGGAGACAAGTCCTCTCGCTGCTGGCATGAGTGAGATAGAACTGTCGTCTCCACTAAATTATGGAACCCCTAGCTCTTTGGTGTCAATTCGTACTCCTCGTAGTGGTGTCAGGGGTACACCGATTCGACAGAGACCAGACGTTCAGTCTGACAGACGTGTGCGGCAAGTTAACTTAAATGAAACTGTAAGTTAAAATGTATATGTCAGTATTAAGGTAGATGAAATTATTAAATTATTAATAGTTAAATTTTATTCGTAGATACCAGAGAATGATGAAGACAGAGAAAGAACGTCCGAGGGTGAGAACGGCCCGCAATTGATAATCTGGGGTACAAGTGTCGTAGTGGATCGCATCAAGCAGCAATTCAGGCGATTTGTTACATACTTTATTGATCCAGAAGCAGAGAATGATGAATTGCCTGAAAACATGAATCTAACAGAACCACTCTATTTACAGAAACTTGAGGAGATACATATATTAGAAGAGCCTTATTTAAATATAAACTGTGCTCATCTTGAGGCTTTTGATGCACAGCTTTATAATCAATTGGTACTGTATCCTCAGGAAGTTATACCAGCATTTGATTTAACTGCTAACGAAATATTTTTTGAGAAATTTCCTGGGGCAGCATTGGAACATTCAATTCAAGTACGTCCTTATAATGTTACGAGGACTACAAGTATGCGCCTCCTGAATCCAGAGGACATAGATCGATTGATCACGATTACTGGAATGGTCATTAGAACATCAAATATCCTGCCGGAAATGCGAGAGGCATTCTTTAAATGCATCGTATGTTCCTTCACAACGACTGTGATCATCGACAGAGGTCACATAGCCGAACCCACAGTGTGCACTCATTGCAATAACAATTTCTGCTTCAGTCTGGTACACAACCGTAGTCATTTCACCGACAAACAAATGATCAAGTTGCAAGAGTCACCAGACGATATGCCAGCTGGTCAAACTCCTCATACAGTAGTGCTTTTTGCACATCATAATCTAGTTGATGCTGTCTCACCAGGTGATAGAGTTTCTGTCACTGGTATATATCGTGCGTTGCCTATACGCGTTAATCCTCGACAAACCAATGTCCGGGCTATCTACAGAACACACGTTGACGTGGTTCATTTTAGAAAACAAGATTCAAAGCGGTAAGCATTTCTAATTTTGATTTTATTTTACATTTTCGTGAATTTGTTTTATTGCATATGTAGATTATACGAGCAAGAGGACGGCAAGCGCCATGCATTTCCACCAGAAAGAGTGGAATTGTTGAAATTACTGTCACAAAAGGAGGACATATATGAACGATTGGCGCGACACATTGCTCCCAGCATCTACGAGAACGAGGATGTCAAGAAGGGTATATTGTTACAATTGTTAGGCGGTACGAAGAAAGAGCAGAACGAACGAACTAAAAAACATTTCCGGTCCGAAATTAATATACTCCTATGCGGAGATCCGGGTACAAGTAAATCACAACTGTTACAGTTTGTCTTCAATTTGGTACCGCGCTCACAGTATAGCAGCGGAAAGGGTAAATAATTCTTGATAATGATAATTGGAATCTTAGCTTTTGTTCGTATTTGTTATCTCATGTTCGTTTCTCATGTCGTTCGTATCTTACATTTTTTTTCTCAGGTTCCAGCGCTGTTGGCTTAACCGCCTTTGTAACGAAAGATCCGGAAAGCCGTCAATTAGTATTGCAAACTGGCGCTCTGGTGCTTGCAGATAACGGTATCTGTTGCATCGATGAATTTGATAAAATGAACGATAGCACGCGCTCAATACTGCACGAAGTTATGGAACAACAAACACTGAGTATTGCAAAAGCGGGTATCATTTGTCAATTAAATGCGAGAACCAGTATTCTAGCAGCGGCTAATCCTTGCGAGTCGCAGTGGAATAAAAA